GATTCATTATCTTTTAAGGTACTTTCTGCTAAATGAACTTGTCTATGTACACCGATTTGCGTATGATGACTCATAGGTTACACCAGATCACTTATTAATGTACTTTGGGCCTGGAATAGGATGGAAGATAATGTAAAAAAGAAACAATAATTACTTGTCAACTAAATGGGTATTTAAAGGGAATCAGGATGGCTGATTTCCATTTAGAGGCTCATTATACAGATCGATCACCTCAAATTCAAGGCGTTCTTTCTTCTAGTTTACTTTTGTCTAGGTAACTATGAGAATATGTGTCCTATTTAGTTGCTAATATCGGGGGGGGGCAGGGAAAGGCAAAATTGCATGAAAATGGAATACAGTTGTGCTAGGAAAGATAAATAAGAAATCCAACCCAGAGCAAAGCACAACAGAATGCATACAAAAATTCCATCGCTCTTGATAGCTCAGCTAAATTTTGCTAGAAAAGAGAAAATAGGGAACCCTGAAGAAAAAGAGGAAGCATGCATGAAAGGCATATAAAGGGAGTATATACATCAGCTTTTTACAACCTGGTACCCTTGAAATGTCTTACCCCCAAAATTCTTGACCATTTCTCTTGGTGGCTGGAGATGATAGGAGCTGAAGCCTGCGTAGCATCAAGTTGGAGTATGTTAATATATATGATATAGAGTGGATGGTAGAGGCACAGCCAGGAATTTTCAGCAACCCTGAGTCACTCAGTCTGAGTGAAAAAGTTGCACATACTGTATTATGGATATGCTTTAGAGAGAATTAGTTGAACATGAGGGGAAAAAACTGCTGTATCTGATCGAGTCTTGACAAACTATCTGCTTCCCTCTTTCAATATGTTGTGGGATGCTTATCAGGCAGGGCTGAAATAATAGCCAGGCCGGAGAACCTGTACTTTAAAACACAGCAGTTCTACTAAGCTATCATGGCAGATCATTGTTAAGTTACCTATGACAGTAGCTCCCAACCTTGGGTAATCCAGGAATGTAACTTCCAGAAATCCCAGCCAGCACAGTTAGTGGTGAAGGCTTCTGGGAGTTGCAGTCAAAGAACATCTGGGTTACTCAAGGTTGTGAACCACTTGTTTGCAAGCAAAATAATAATTCAACATTTACACAAAAGTTAGCAAACCAAAAAAGCAGCGCAGGACATTTTAGGATATCTGTCTCACATCTGTTAATACACAGGCTCTTAGCATTTTCTTCCTCTGGGGTTATTTTTCTCGCCATGAATCATAGAACAACTCAGAAGAATAAATTAGCAGAGAAGGCAAGAGAGAAATACCAGTGAATGTTCTAGCTGCCTTCTTGAAGTAGTCCAGAAGATACAGTATCTGAAGCATACTAGACCTGTTAATAATAATCAGTAGTTGCATTTTCCTTCCTCACCCTGGCATACAAAATCAGTAAATTTAAAATTGTAGCATCTGTAAATAACACCACCAGTTTCAGTTACTGGAGGATCCCTCTCTCCCCTCAGACTTCATCTCCCACAGACTCTTTAAATAGAGATAGCCTCCGGGGGGGGGGGCTCACTATCGCAAAGGCTGGTTTCATATCTAGAAGCGGAAAATATTGTATTTATTCCAACAAGAGCTTTTCTCATTCCTCATTCAGTAAATTTGCCTGCTTTTGTCTTAGAGATGGCAGGCTTTGCTGCATGTTGGATGTCTCAGGCACATAACAAGGGACGATTTACATGCTTGGAGAGATAGTGGTGCAAGAAGTGGAAATATACATTTGCTTTAAATGTGATTAGACCCAGAATACCACCTGTTCTAGTCTCATCTGCAGCATTTTTTTTGATTGCACATCCCAAAAGACAGCTTTAACTAGTATTTCTTATCATTCAGCATGCAACTTTGGAGCTTAAGCCACTTCCATTGGATTCAGAATACAAATAGGGAACAAATCCCTTGCGTAAGAAGAAATTGGGCTTTATATAGACATACTTTCAAAGTACAGTACAGGAAATATCAATATTTCACTGACAAATAACCATATATTCCATCCAAATAATTCATTTTTTCCTTCTGTCCCACAATATGAAAGCTCCAGTAGAAATATATTTTCTAATTTATTTTTCCTTATAGCAAAAGGAAAATAAATAATATAAATTAAGTTCTGTTAACTCGTAAACTGAAAATCTGGAATCTGACATAGCATACCATGAAATATTATCCAAAGAATCCTCACATATTATTTATTATCAGGATTTTGTTTTCAAAACATGCTCACATGCTCTTTTGCTCTCGCTTTCGCTCTCTCGCTCTCTCACACAAGCAAACAAATCAAGTCCTGAAGCGCTTATCTTTGGAAACTTATTTCAAATCTGAATTATCTGCCTAAATAAAACTGCATGGAAAATAAACTCATTCAGTAAATTTCTCTAAGTATACTGGCCACTTTGGACCAGAGAGAGTATTATATACAAAGTAGGAATTCTATACAATAGTGTTATCTAAAATTATGAGATAAAGCAGGACACAGAATAGCGCAGCCTCCAAATGTTGTTGAACTTCCGTTCCCATCAGCCTCAGCCATCCTAGCCAAGGCAAGGAATGATCCAAATTGTAGTTCAGTGTCTGAAGGACTAACTGATTCACAGCCCTGACATACGAGGGCTAGTGAATGGCTAGTGCTATTAACATTCTTCTAGAAAATTAACACACCTATATGCTCATACAATCCACTACTGAAGCAATTTATTTCTAACAACGATATCTAAGGGCCATACTTCACACAGAGTCCTTAATGTGCACCATGAAGGCATAACAATATGCAGAGCCCAACATAGAACAGGTCCTAAAAGGTTACAAAAGCAGTGGGCCCTTGAAGATATAATATGTATTTTTTAAAAGAACCAGCAGGACCTAATTAATTTAGTTATGTTCATAAAGGCCACAGGCTTTGCAAACAGAAGGATTTGTTTTGGTACATTATAAAAAGAAACACACGTGTTGTCTCTGCAAATCACCTGGGGCTGTTCTGCACAATAATTGCAGGTTATGGGCCATCTGTCTAGCAACCTCTCATGCTCACAGTTAGGTTCCCATATGCACAACTAGAATTACTAAGGTAGGTGTCTGTAAAAAAGAAGTGTATTTTCTCCTAGGAAATGCAACACCAGCATTGAAAAGGGAACTTGGATAGGATGAAGGCTCTGGAATCTGTATACAGCATGAATTAGAGGATTTGCAGCAATGCACTTCATCTCAAAATAGGAAAGTCTTATACACAGATGTGCATATACTGTATATAGAGAGATGTATACATATAAACAAACAGAGATGGAGAGAGAGAGAGAGAGATCACAAAGTCTAAGAACCAAGTTTTCATTAATAAAGGATGACTTTTAGGACCCGCCCAAAGTTTTAAAAAGTTCATTTTCTGAACTACAATACCAAAGTGTAATTCAAAAAGTAACTTTTATCCCAACTCTGAACTTGTCACTGTACAGATCACAGATAATGCTCAACAGTATAACAGGTACCTAACTACAAAACCAGGTTCACAAAGTTTAAGAACCAAGTTTTTATTAATAAAGGATGACTTTTAGGACCCGCCCAAAGTTTTAAAAAGTTCATTTTCTGAACTACAATACCAAAGTGTAATTCAAAAAGTAACTTTTATCCCAACTCTGAACTTGTCACTGTACAGATCACAGATAATGCTCAACAGTATAACAGGTACCTAACTACAAAACCAGGTGGTCTGTAACAGAAGGTGTGAAAAAGCTTGCTGACCCTGAGATCATGACCTGGAATTTAGACTCATTTAGGTGCAAATAAATGTAGGTGTCACTGTATGTCTTTCCTTAGAACGTTTTAACAAAGATGATGATGATGACCCAAGAAGATTTTCCAGAAACAAACACACACAGAAAATTGTGGCATGGAAGTTTTATACCTATTTCTGATAAGCTGTGCATCACACAAATTTTGTTCTTTGGTTCTTTTTGAAAAAGACTTTTGTCAGCAGAATCACCCAGATGTATTCAGTGTATCTCATATTACCTCTCATCAAAGCAGGTTACACATATAAACATTCTGGTATCTTAAAGCAGATTTGCAAGAACATGCAAAGGAGGAAGAGCAGGAATATAGCTCTAAAACTGAGAACCTCTTTATTCCAGAAAAATTAATTTTGGACTACTAATCCTAAAATCTCACAACCAGCCTGGCCACCTGAAGAGGATCTAGACTGTGACTAAAACCTCTTCCTGCCAGACCAAAAATAAATTTAGGAAAGTCAATAGAACAGGAATTATCAAAGCATTTCTGCCTTATAGAACATTTCTGTTTGTGTTGCACAAAAGCACTAAGCGCTTTTGAAAAATTAGTAGATCTACTACGCAGAACCTGGATCAGGAAGCAGACTATACAGTGCCTATCATCTACCCCCACTGCACTATGAACCACTAAGTAAAATGGAAAGCTCACATCTGTACTTACCTTTCTCCTGAAATTAATGTGATGTAGAAATGCTTAACTTTGGGCATAATGTAACCATTTCAGGAGGATTGAGTAGAATGGCAATGCAATCAAAATCATACATACTTATACAGCATCACACCTGTTTACAGAAGAATAATTTCCCAAGTCTTCCTGTTGTGCAGAAAGCACCCTGTGCAAAACACGCCTGTTACTATCTCTCAGGCTTTTAACCCAATATTGTCAAGGCTGACATTGTTCCAGTCTTATCAGGAAGTGGCGCAGATTGAAACTGAGATCTTCTGCATGTAACGTTAATATATGCTCTGCAACTGAGCTATCAGAACAACATTAAAGGGGTCATGTACTAAGATCCCTAGTATCATTTCACTCAGAAAGTCAACTTCTCTGAGGTTTTAATTTCACACTACTCTGACTAGAAACAGCAATTCCATTAGAAGACAGGCTCCAATAAATACTTACAGTGCAGCCGTGCCATAATATTTAAGGTTACTACAACAGGCATCAAATATGCTTCCTGAAAGAGTGAGCTACATACCTTTTTGACTTCATATTTAATTGCTAGTTTGACACGACTCAATGAAGCTCTGTGTCTCTGTGTTTCCACCGGCTCAGCCTCCAAATCTCCATTTAAAATGGCTTCTACTTCTTCAGAATCTCGGCAAAGATCAAGGACACCAACCACAAAATCCTTGCATTGCATAGACAGCTTGCGATAGTCATTCTAAGTAGTAAAGAAGAGAAGGGCCCTTGATTCACATCAAAGTACAGTGCAATTGATAAGTGTAGCAATTTCATAATGTGATTATACATATACTGTATATTTAATATGTAAATTCTCTCAGTGAGCTTGGATGTCATATACTCTTTACCCTCCTTGGATGTCACAGTATTCAAATTATGCATCACTGTCCATAAAAACAGAGATATCAATATATGTAGCAAGGTAGGAAATGAAGAAAATGATGTCACAGTATTCAAATTATGCATCACAGTCCATAAAAACAGATATCAATACAGTATATGTAGCAAGGTAGGAAATGAAGAAAAACTCAAGAATAAAATGACTAGGAAAGTTAAGCTGATTAAATGTCTCCCTGAATTAGGATCCAACACACCTGAATTACTATGTCTTTATCTTCTGTGCTACTACATCACAAAATTCCCAATACACCTGCCTCTTGAAAGATAAATACAGTACTACATTTTCCTTCTGCCTCTTTTTCTTATCAAACCATCAGTAATCACATTAATGTTCCTTGGTTTCTATCACACTTATCTTAGTTTTGGTTCACCATCTAATTTCTCACTTGCATCAATGGGAACTTTTCTTCCAGTGCAGATTGTAAGGGGGTGGGGAGAGAGCGGGATCAAAAAAATACAATATCGCCAACCTCCTCTGAGTGTCCAAATCTAAATCACCCTTTCTTGTCATCTGCTTTCTTTAAAACCATCCACACAATTGCTACTTTGCACCAATAGCATATTAAAATAATTTCTGGGATCACATCCTAATGAAATCCACTCAAAATATGCCTTCCTCTGGGCACTAAGTGGTACCAGTTCTGCCTTAGCAAGCACTTCATCCCTGTGAGATATGTTAAACTATGAGCTTGCTGTCAATTACACACAGTTGTGGATGGGATTGTTGACAATGAGGTCAGATGGAAATTAAATGTACCAAAGACTGGATTTAATAATCAGTCAGATGGATGATGTGCTTAAGACAGTCATCGCAGTTCGCAGTCAGTGGTGGAACACAGGGGAAGAAGCGATTTCTAAAGGTATTCAAAAGCAGTACTATGAACAGAACTTGAATAAGTTAATATTTAGGTCAATAATATCCAGAATTTTCCAGCTAGCATGGGCAATGGTAGCCATGGGGATTCTGGGGTCTCCAAAAAAAAGCTTTATTTTTTTAAACACTTCCAAACTCTGAGCTTAAACTGTACTTCAAAGACCACAGGAAGCTGGAACCAGAACACTGTGTACAGTTTTCCTGACAATACACTCATATTACAAAGGAAGCTACTACAGTCTATACCAGTTGACGATTTGGAAGTGTAATCAACAGCCGTGCTTTGCTGTCCTCAGTGGAGAATTCTGTATGTTGAACACCACTCCATCTCTTTGTCATCCTAGGTGCCCCCTGTCTCATCCGTATTTTCTGTTACTACAGCTGTCTCCACTTTCTCACAGTTTCACATAAATCTCTTATTACTGTCATCTTTTTAAAATGTTCTAGTTCAGGAACTTTTTAGTGCAGCATTTTCAGGGGTAAATACAACAACTCCCTGGGCATGGCTGAATATAACCTATCTCCTCGTGTTACACTCTGTTACCATTTCAGATCTTTTCTTTTAATTGCAGATTCTTACTTGTCCCAGCTATCTTACCCTCCTTTTATTATTCTAGAAAATAAATTTAAAACTCACATTATCAGAATGGCTAAGTCCTAGCTATTGTCCTCAATTCAGAGAAAGTTAAAGACTTAATTGCAAGATATAATATCTTGTTTCCTTTGGTTGGAAATTGTTATTTTTAAACATTGACTAATCTAAAACTACCCATAACTGACAACATAATTAGTCAGATGATCAATTGAATTTTTAACAATGTGAGGTAAGTATAACTCTGTAAAGTTTAGAATGTCTGCAGCAAATGTGCTGAAGGCTCCAACCTTGTATGCACATACCTGGAACAATTTACTTTTCCATTGATACATTTAGGATTGCACAGTAAATCAACTAGTCCTAACACAACCCACATAATCAGAAATCTGACAAGTCATCTTGTACATGGTGAAGTGATACAGTTGAGAAAGTCAACATTTGAAGCATATTTATTTATTATTTTTTATTATTTTATTTATATCCCACCTATCTGGTCGGGTCAGGACCACTCTAGGTGGCTAACAACATATATGAAGTGACTCTGAATGAACTGATTACAGTAATTAAAGTTTTGAAGAAAGAATATGGTAATTGGTGCTAAAATTTTATTTTCATATTTTCCAAGTTATCTATTCTAAAATGTTTTTGTAAATATGTCTCTGCCACAAAAACAAAGTACACTTTCTATAAAAACACGTCCCTTTCAGGACAAAAGCTGTGATTTAACAAACCACTTATTTGAAATTAATGGAATAAAAATAATGGGTTAAGTGTACATAAAACATTTTTAAGTTTTACACCATATTAAGCTGCCTCTGGATCATAACTGGAAACATGACACAATCATAAGATCTGATTAGTGTCTTTCTCTTAATGGATCTTACAATCTCCTTTTGTCAGTTTCTTTCCTTTTCCTACCCCCCCCCCCAAATCTGATATCCTCCAGATGTTTTGATCTAGTAACCCAACAGCCTCAACCAGCAAAGCCAATAATAGGCAAGGATGGTAGGGAGCATAACCTAAAACCTTTGGAGGGCAGTAGGTTGTAGAAGGCTCATTATGCAAGTGTTTAGTGATCTCTTCCCTCCAGGCTGATTGATTCCTCTGCTGTATCAGATTATCAACTTTCATGAAGAAGCATTTGTCAGTGATCTGCTCTTTATACTACCTTTCTAGTTACATTAATCTAGCTCACATCCTCTGCACCAGGATTTATACTCTTCACACTTGGCTACTCATACATGACAACACTTCTCATGAGTTTTTTCACTCTAGCTTTTCTGCTTATCTTCATAGAAAATCTCTGTGCCTGTACCTCAGTTTGTGCAGCATGACCTTGGCTTCTTCCTGCAGCTGTGAAATATGCTCCCCATGTACCTCCCCCTGCATTAAAAGACAGAATGTTCCCTCTCCTTCCCCCACTTCTGCAGAACTGTCTGCATGTGTATCAGAATAATATAAACATAGAATAAGAACACAAATCTTCAAAGAATCACTTGAACATCTGTATTTTTTTCTGTAACACACATACTCATCTCTTTCAGGCACTTAATGTCACTGATGCTAATTTTTCCACACATAAAAAAGTTTATTATTATTATGCGGCAAGGTACCACTATATTCCTTTTAAATCTTACGTTTTTCAATAATATTATGGGTGCAGTTTAGAACCAATTATGTTCATTCTTCATGACCTTGAGGAAGAGGTTAACTGAATCAAACATATTTAATTCTAGGCCTAGTTATAGGAGATTATATCTCATTTAAAATCAATTAAAATTAAGTTTATGCCACTTGATCTAGCACTGTAGCCTGCAGATATGGTTCACAAGACACCACTATCCAGTAAACCTCTTCCCCATAATACTTATTTTCAATTATTTTTCCATATAGTTCACTGTGCAGCATGAATAAAGTTCCTTCTATAATAAATAATAACAATGGGCTGTCAAGGAAATTCTGACTTATGGCAACATTTTCCAGAGTTTTCTAGGTAGAAAGTACTCAGAAATGGTTTACCAATCTTTTTTCCCGGGGTCATCCTGGGACTGTACAGCCTGCCAAAGGCCACAAAGGCACTTCCCCCCCTGGAGACACAATAAGGAATTGAACTACCAACACTCATTGAGCTATAAAGGTCAGTGGCAAATTATCTGGTCTGAAAAGTCACTTACACATTTTAAAATTACTTTGCTAATAAGAACATAATTATGCAAAAAGGCCCAACTTCACAAGAGAGATCTCCCAATGGCCTTCCAACACTAGGGAACTATTTTTCCAGTTGTTACTGCTACCGACATGGTTTTCTAATTGTGTTGTTAACATGCAGTGTAGCAACTTCCTTCAAGGTTCTCATTTACCTGGAAAGAGCCCTCTTTTCCTGAACTCCTGCTACTAATTTGGATCTGGTTTGAATACAAAGCAGGCAAAACAGTTACTTAGCAAACATAATATACCACCCAAAATGTCAATATTAGACAGCAAGTGGGCAAGTTCACTTCAACAGTAACAACAGAGGCAACACATTACAGTATGGCTTTCATTCTAGGAAGAGAAACTGAAAGAGAACTGAGTGTGCCCTTTGCTGAGAAGACATCAGGGGTTTTGTTTTGTTATGCTGTTTTTTACTACAAAAGGCTTCTGGTCCAGAAATCTTTGTGAAGGATATAGTATTGAAAAGGGTGTTCCAGATATCAAGATTTTAAGGATCTTTTTTCCATCTTACAAACTAGCAAATGTATAACACAGTTATACTGTATAAGCCTTTGAGGACTTTAGTCCCCTTCAACAAATGCAATATTATGTTGAGTTATATATGGTGGTGAGATTATAAACAGTGAAGTGTTTGCTTTCTGTATTACATTTATTTCAACTTCTGTGTTAAAAGTGTCAACTGAATACTGTGTGTGTTTGTGTGTGCACATAGCTCACCATAGTACCTCATGCATTTGATGGAGAATTTTTAAGACCTTAAAGTGCCACAAGACACTTCATTGCTTAATCACTGAAAGTTTTCTCAGGATTATTTGTTTCCATTGGATCATGATTAAAGCTTTTATAAAAGAAAGCCCTGATAATGCCAGCTATATCTCCTTGACAAGGGATAATCTAACAAAGAGCAGCTTCTGTTCTTTTAAAGTATTAAAGGATTTTCAATTTTGCAGAGTAGCAATAACCTTAATAAGAATGAGAATTTTCTCAAGACTGCCAGCAGTGCCAGTTAAGAGCCCTGGAATTGATCTATTTCAAACTTCCATAAACTTAAATTTTTAAAAAGTTGTGATGGCTATGTCCAAAATGGTTTTGAGTACTTGTATACTACTAGTGACAA